ATCAAGGTGTACATCACACTCACGTGGGGATGTGACCCACTTGTATAAAATATTTTTTTATTCAAACGGGTCCCACCCCCATGTGAGTGTGATGTACATGCCCATAGCAAAACCGAATAAATAAAGGCTGCTATCAATACAATTCTTGTGGGTGGAATACTAAACAATGGAATTAATTAGGCAGGAATTATATGTAAAATAACTTACTTATGGGGCCACAATTTCACTATCAATAAAGACTAATTAAAAAAATAATAGGTAAAATGACATCAAGACTATAAAATATATTGAATAAAAAATACAAAGAAACTGCGAAGAATGTAAGAAAATTAACAGAAGTCCCAATCAACTATCCTTCTCTCTCTCTCTCTATCTCTCTCTCTCTCTGCGCTTTTTGGTCATGCGTATACACGAGACTGGGTTCATAGTTGATATGTTCAAGTCTCAGTATGTTTAATTGAAAGGAAAATGATGATTTTAAGTAAAAAATTGATGTCTCTGTGTGTGAAACTTAGTCCCCGTTTGGCTCATATTTTTTAAAATTATTTTTTCTCAAGCTCATTTTTAACCACACTTTTCATGGAATTCACAACTTTTATCAATTGTTTAATATCAAATTTTAACAAAATTTAGTAAAAAAATTGATTTTTAACAAAATCAAACAAGGACTTATTTCAATGAACTTAGTTTTATTGAGGACGACTTGTTTTGTTTGTTAAAAAGAAATTCTACTCAAACTCAACGAGATGTTCAACCAAGGTCGTCCGAAAATAAGTAGGACCGACATCGAAAATATAAAGTTTCGAATGTGTCCGTTTTCAAAGATGTTTGTGTATATTTTGAGTGGAAACGGTCTAGCGAGCAAAACTCATAATGTACAACCTGTTTCAATCCAATTCCATCGTTTAGGGCTCCGAAAATGCATTTTCGTTGTTATGGATGATTTTCTTAATTTTAATCAGATTAGAATTTTAATTCCGTTTATAGTTTGACTTTATCTTTTATTCTTATAGTTATCTAGAAGTTAGTAAATATCCGTTTTCGTAGATGGTTGTGTATATTTTGAGTGGAAACATCCTGACAAGCAAAACTCATGATGTACAGCCCGTTTCGATCAAATTCCATTATTTAGGGCTTCAAAAACGTATTTTCATTATTTTGGATAATTTCTTAATTTCAATTCCATTTAGAGTTTAGTTTTATCTTTTATTTTTATATTTATCTAGAAGTTAGTTATTATCCAAACTTTTTATTTTACTGCTTTAAATACAAGTTGTGAATTAAATAAAGAGTTTCAAGAAGTTTCTCAAATTATTATTTCTTTCTTAGTATTTGAAATGTCAAATCAACAAATTCGAGTTTTGTGAGATTTTATTCTTTTCATATAACGTGGAATGACCCCTAATATGGTTTGAGACCTAACTCGAAATACAAAGAGAAATTTCCTCCGTAATTGAATTGACTCTTTACTTGGGACCGCTAGACCCGAAGGGCGGACTGGCGGTCTCTCTAATGAAATTAATGATAGAAGTCAAACCTTGTCCAGACCACCAATCCCTGAAACTTTGCCGGTGTCTACAGCATTGGACTTTGTTTTTCTCTCTCTTAAATTATTCAATATTGTCGTACAGTACCTAACATGTTGTGAGATGTGTATTTGCACAAGGTGAATGATTGAGCCTCCGTTCGGTGCACATTTTTGAAAAAAAAATACATTTTTACTGTTGATGTGATGGAGAATATGTGGTTGAAAAAGAAGGAAAAATTGTTGATGTGATGAAAAATATTATTTTATTGAAAAATGTGTGGTTGAAAATGAGAATTGATTTACTGTAGAATTTTGAGTTTCCCTCCCAAACATGGCCTACATATAAAAAATATAAGCTATCGTGCTAATAACATGTTAGGTGCACATTTTTGAAAAAAAAATACATTTTTACTGTTGATGTGATGGAGAATATGTGGTTGAAAAAGAAGGAAAAATTGTTGATGTGATGAAAAATATTATTTTATTGAAAAATATGTGGTTAAAAATGACTAGAAGAATGAAAATGAAAAAAATAATGTGGCTCAAACGTGGCCTCAGATGTGAGAAAATTTGTTTGCTTATTTTGCTCAATCTTCACTGACTCAATGCACCAAACATACTATAAAGTTGCAAAATGAGGGTATCACTTGCATGAAAAACCTAGGAAAATGTGAATACTAATTAATTGAGCTCTATAAAGGATAACTTTTCTCCTTATCTAGTATGTGTGTCAGTGTGTGTATAATCCAAAAATTTACCTGCTTTTTTTGCTATCTATGCCTTTTTTAGGATCATTGTTTATAAACACTTATAAACTTGGGAAACTCTTCGGTCAGCCCCCCTCCAATAGGAGGGCGCCACATGGGCGCCCTGTTCTTGCGCCTGGTATTGAGCCGGGCCCAATAGCACGGCTCTATAAACTTAGCCAAGCAAGCATGTGATCTGAAACAAAAAAATAAATAAAATAAAATATATCACAAATGTCATTAGTACATATTTGAAACAGTAATTGAATATGATTGAACAGAAAGAGAGACATGTAACAAAATTTATCATGGCTTATTCAACAATCACTCTAATGGACCAAACATGTCATTAAAGCGGCATAAAGGTTCTTATTGCAAAGCCTACAAACTTATCTAGATGTGTTTGATGGATATTATTGAGAAAAGAATGTATTTTAAATAGTGATATAATGTGATAAATGTGGTTAAAAATAATGAAAAATTATTGATGTGATGTAAAATATTATTTTATTAAAAAATATGTTGTTAAAAATGACTAGAAGAATGAAAATAAAAAAAATAATGTGGCTCAAACGTAGGAAAATGAGGGTATCACTTGCATGAAAAACCTAGGAAAATGTGAATAGTAATTAATTGAGCTCTATAAAGGATAACTTTTCTCCTTATCTAGTATGTATGTGTGTGTATATATATATTATCCAAAAATTTACCTGCTTTTTTTGCTATCTATGCCTTTTTTGGGATCATTGTTTATAACACTTATAAACTTAGCCAAGCAAGCATTTGATCTGAAACCAAAAAAAATAAAATTAAAATATATCACAAATGTCATTAGTACATATTAACAATCACTCTAATGGACCAAACATGTCATTAAAGCGGCATAAAGGTTCATCTTGCAAAGCCTACAAACTTATCTAGTCCTTGTTTGATTTAGATAGAAATTAGTTTTTCATTAAATTTTTATAAAAATTGATAGAATATATGGAAAAGTCGTGAGTCCTATAAAATATGAGATTAAAATTAATTATTGATTTATAATTTAGCTCCCGCTTGGTGCACATTTTTGGAAAATAATGCATTTTTACTGTTGATGTGATGGAGAATATGTGGTTGAAAAAGAAGGAAAAGTTATTGATGTGATGTAAAATATTAATTTATTGAAAAATGTGTAGTTGAAAATGAGTAGAAGATGAGAATGAAAAAATTAATGTGTCTCAAACGGGGCTTTATATTTTAATCAAATATTTTAATTGAATCAAACGGGTAACTAATACTTTAATTGTAAATGAATGGCTTGTGGCAATTGCCACTATATCATTGCTGATTTTGACTGGACCCAAACTTCATTATGCCTATTAATATTATCCCTCTTCCTCGAAGCCAACTTTTCATTAATCAAGACCCACTACCAATTATCTAAACCAATTTTATTCATCCAAGTGTGAACTTACTATGCGAGTCTAACCTCACAATCATTGACGTTCTCTCTTTCACACAAAATCTAACAGCATAGGCATGTTCTTGTACAACATTTTGCACAAAATAATAAACAAAAACTTAATTTATTTTTTTCTCTTGACGCCCAAATTTACTCAAAACCAGATGTCAATAGATTTTAACCACGCTTGCTTCGACCTGTTATTCTCCTATACACAAAAAATATGATGCTCGGCTCTATTTCTTAAAAAAAAAAAAATCGATGACAATATGATTAAACTCTACATAGTTGACGACGTTACATCCACCCACAAAGAAGGCAAACACTGTCATCTCGTGGTCCAGGAGTCATCAGTCATGGGATCAAACCATGATTTGGGTGAAGGGGTTGGTCGAGGCAAGACTGAACAAAAACAAATCAAAATCACGGTCTACAGAAGTCAACCATAACATTCCCCACATTCTGTTCTATTATATAAAATTTGCGTCATGAACTGACGCTTGGCAATTCTTGGACCGAACACAGAGAAATAAGAATTAAGGGTACGTTTGAGCCACATTATTTTGAAAGAATATATTCTAGAATAGTAGATTGATGGAGAATGTGTGGTTGAAAAAGTTATTAATGTGATGTAAAATATTATTTTATTGAAAAATATGTGGTTAAAAATGAGTAGAAGAATGAGAATGAAAATTTTAATGTGTACCAAACAGGGGCTAAATTCCTTAGCCACCTGTCCAAATCAGTGAAGAATCACCTGCGAAACTTCATTCGACGTCCAAAGAAGGCTGCTGAACATCCCCCAGACCCCACCCCACCCCACCCCACCCACAAATTGAGGTCTGAAGCAAACATGTACACACACATATATATATATGGTAACCTGCAAGAACGGTCAGATTATATACATGGCTGAGAATTATCCCAACACAAACATGCCCGGTTCGAACATGGATCCATATAACTACCAGATGAACTTTGAGCATTTAGATTTCTTCGACTTCACTGACTGGAAGAAGGACGATCTTGAACTTATCGTCTCTGGTTATCCCGAAAGCCAGAACTATGACGCGTTTAACTTTGGGGGAAGTAGCAGCTACCATGAAGATCTCAACGGCAGTAAGTAAATAAATAACAACTCTTTTAGTTCATGTTGGATAGGTAGTAATGGCTTATATCATACAGAATAACTGAAAAAAATTATTACTTATTTTTCTTCGTTAATATTGTAGTTGCAGCATCAGGAGATGGTAGAAGTGGCAGGGAGAATAAAGAAACCACAAAGAAGGTTGCCTTTAAAACCAGGTCAGAAATTGAGATACTTGATGATGGCTTCAAGTGGAGGAAGTATGGAAAAAAGATGGTGAAAAACAGCCCAAATCCCAGGTGCATATTTATCCTATTCAATGCATACTTATGTTTGGTTTTCCCTATTCCATAAACTCATTTTTCCTCGAACTTACATTCAACAACACACACGTTTCATCAATTTTTATTAAAATCTACTAAAAATACGATTTTTAGCTAAACTAAGCTGGAATTTAAAATCAAAAGGAACGCTACACTACTAGGGACATGAACAAAAGAATTGAACTACATTACAATTTCTAGATTTTAACTTCAATCTTTTCTTTGATATTGTCCACATGGAAGCATTTTTATTTTATTTTGTTGAGGGAAAGGAGGTGTACCAATCCGAGAACCCATGGCCGAAGTTTTGATAACAACAATCCATAACTAAGACAAGTTAAATTGATGGTCCACATGGAGCATGTTTATCATGTTACATGTCTTTTACTTTTAATTAATCAAAAGAAGCTACTCATTCTAAAGGGAAATTTAATACACCTTGTATATAGGGCGTAATTACACTTAGCATACCGTATTTCATAAATTTACATTTTACATACTATTTTGAATTTTGCATAATGATTAAAATAGATAAATAAAAAAAATATCCTCAATTGAAATAACAAATTACACTCTATATTTTACTTTATGCGACTCTTTGCATACTATTTTCGAATTATTGATTTTTAAATAGATTTTTTTCTTTATATGGTGATTTTTTGTATGGGATTTATAAAATTTATTATCTTCTTTTCCTAAGATCTAATGTCAAATCAATAAAATTAATTTTAGTAAGTTAATAAAATATTAAAAATTATAGAAAATAATTTATTTGACTTTTCCAACACTGACAAAACAAATAAAAGTTTTTGTTACTATCTTCTAATTAATATATAGTTCAAATAATAAAATCAAAAATCAAAACAATTTTTTCATATAAAATTTTTATTTTAGACCTAAAAATTCATTTTAAGTTGAAGTGATTTTGCAACTTAAAAAATATTTTTTTAGATAAAAAATGAAATAGTAATATAAATTTTGAAGAATAATGAACATTTAAAAATTAATATGTGATTGAGAAATGTTACATAAATGTAATACAAATGGTGTAATTTCATAAAAGGTGTCTTTTTTAAGCTTTTCTTATTCTTGTGATATTTCATACGGTAAAAAAGAAAAAAAAAGAAGCCCTCATTTGACTTATTTTCTAAACAAAAGGATAATGAAAAGTGATTAGTGCTTATCAAAACAAAAGTTTCATGTAAAAAGTCAATTTTTTAGGCTGCCGTTGTGAAATAGACTCTCGTGCCATAGATTTATCAACTATTTACAATGAGTAAAAATTACACACGTGGAGATTATATGACGTTTTAGAAGATGAATTTGTAACGGAAGGTTGCGTGACAAGAAACTCTTCACAACCGTAGATTTATCGACTATTTACAAGAGAGGGGATTGAATTAGGTTAGAAAGAGTAGATAATCACTTATTTAATGTTTGTTCGGAAGAAATTATTTGAAGTGAACGATATTTTTTTTAAGAATGTATAGTTAAAAAGTAGAAAAAAAATTATAGGGTCACGTGCAAAATTATTTTTATTAAAGAATATGTTATTAAAAAATGAATTTGAAGAAAAAAAATGTGCCAAAGAAACCCTTAGCATTCGAATCAAATTTGTCCACTACTTTATGCATACTTGAATCCTCCGTATAGTATAATGAAGATTCGATCTTTTTTTTTTTTTTGTTTTATTATTGAGTACTACTTTACCCTCCTCCATATGAAATGTATAGTAAGATGATTGGATACAATTTGGCAATATTATAGAAAAATTAGAAGGGCTAAGTCTTATTCATTGAACAATTGAATCATACTCTGCAAATTGATCGTAAGTTGATAACAAATTATTAGACAAAGAAAAAAAAGTTAAGAGAGTTAAAAGTATTATTCATTATACTGTTCAATCATATTTATTATTAATTTCTAGACATGAAATCAACAGGAATTATTACAAGTGTTCGGTTGAAGAATGTCCAGTAAAAAAGAGAGTTGAGAGAGACAAAGATGATCCGAGATATGTAGTAACAACCTATGAGGGCATCCACAACCACCATAGTCCTTCTCAGCACTAATGTCAATCAAACCGTCGGAACTACCATTAGAATTTGATGAAGTCGTCTTTTCTAGATTTGCAAACCATTTTAGAATTGTTATAGTTAGGTTGTTGTAATTTTCCACTCGCATACATTCCTAAATAAACTTTGAATTTAGATTCATAACAAGATTCTCCGTCATATACGATCAAGTAGATGTATTGACTTCATTATATGCAATCATACCAAATTCAAAAGCTACTTTTCATGCATCATGGGGCACTTTGGCATGCAAACTACTTTAGCTTGTATGCTACTAAAGGATAGACGGAGATTTTTTGTTGATTAATTATGTAACTATTATGAAAAGCTGAGAACTAAATTGCTACTTGAAAAAAGAGTCAAGAGTCAATGATCAAATAAAAGATAAGAAAAACAAGGGAATTTCGTATGTAAAGAACAGTGAACAAAGATAGTAGCACCGGCATACTATGATAATTGCACGTGCCTGTTGGGATGCAAATGGGTCTAATCATCCCGGCTTGGTCCATCACCGAACTCACTGTCACCACCATCCCTAAAAATAATACTCAACCCCACTCCCACCCCCACCACCCAAACACTGTATATTATTTCTATCACCATCACGCCACTACTAAACAAAGGCACTAACCATCCTGAATCTATAATGTTGTCATCACACCACACAGTCAATGTACCCCGATGAAACACTACGTCAAAAAGCCACCCCATGATCTAAAATTTGAAATCATAGTCGTGACCAAATATCTAAAAACACCACATCTTTGGATCTGAATTCAAAATCTCATAAGCAAATTTCGAGCTTTTTTTTTTCTAATTTTTTGCATGCGTTGTTGTATAATAATTCGAAGCATACTTGAATATAAATTTTGGGTCAAGATGTTTATTTGAAATGATGAATTTCAAGATTTTTTGAATGGTTGAAACACATATTTTTCAAAACTTCAAATTTACAATTTTCTTGCACTCAATGATCTCAATCCTGATCACAATAGAAGGAGATTATTAGTCACAACTTAAGTGCCAATTTTTGTGAGTTTTCATGCAAAAAAAATAATGACTTCAGGGCCTTTCCAATTTTAGTATATTTTCACATACGAATTTCACAATTCTCTTATCATCTTCTCTCTCTCTAGGCAATAACCATTGGATATTGTATGTGAGTTAATAGTGGTTACAGGGAGTTGTAAGTTTGAATTTCAATTTTAAACCACTCAATGCAACTCTTTTTATGTCTTGTAGGTAGGATCACCCACATGGACGACTCATGACCTATATTTTCTAACATCTTTCACTAGCACATGAGGAGCTTAATTCAAATCACAAGTGACAACGAATATCACATGTTAGATTCTTCTCAAGGTCTATCTCACAAAGATTAATACGGCAAATAGAGTATATATTAGAGCTCGCAGTACTATAAACCTATTAGGGATATATAGTAGCTATATTAGAGGAACATTATATCTCACTATATCCCAAACTCATTTTCCAACATTAATTCAAGTATTTTCGATTCCTCAAATATTTATGGAATATATTTGAACCTCATATCGTATCATTGTATTCACAATTGTGTTCTACACCCCTAAATGATTAATCACAATTGTTTGGTCAGTGAATACAAATATAAATGTTGTTGAAAAATAGTTTTTGTTTCCTACTTGAATCATTTAACTTTAAATTAGCTGTTATCCAAGACACGTCTCATCAAACTGAATCAATCATAGTCATTTGTAACATGCTAAAGTAGCGACACTGAAATAAAATCTCAAGGAACAATCAAAATCATAAAGGTATATATGATGTCATATAAACCTCAAGATCTCACATAATGAGGAATTAGTGATCGATTCACTCATTTACCCAATATTAGTCGTAAAAGCACACGGGTTGTGACACGTGATACGTTGTTTTCTCCCATTTTTAGGGCTATGTCATATTCTTTATAAACAAGTAACATCGTACAGATCTTAGTTCAGAAATTCTCCGATACCTAACTTGAGTTCTCCTTATGTTGAGTTAATACCCTAAATAGTTACTGAACTTTGCAAATAGTTCTCAGGGGGTCACTGAACTACAAAATTTCCCAAGAAGTCACCAAACTTTGCAAATTGGGACCCTATACATCAATGGTTCTGTGACTATTTAGGGAAGTTTTGGCAAAATTTAGTGACTATTTAGGAAAATTTGGAAGTTCAGTGATCCCCTAGGAACTATTTGCAAAGTTCGGTGACTACTTAGGGAAGTTTTGAAGTTCGGTGACCTCCTAGAAATTTTTGGCAAAGTTCAGTGACTATTTAGGGTATTAACCCCCTTATGTTCATTCCTACAGAAAATCTCAAATTGAGAACTCGATCTAGCTACTAAGCAAGTTTAATGGATAGCAAAATCTATTTCGATTACTTATTATAATCTCATCAAGGTGATCGAATCATGTATACAACATGATCTTTTGTCTCATCTTAGTATACCCTAAAGTGTCTAAGGTGATTGTTCGTGTGAGTGAGCTAATCTCCACATGTTCGATACACTCTATACACGTATGCCAATTATTATCTCGTAATCTCAACGATAGATTACACATGAACTCAAAATTATTCATCTATAGGCACATAAAACTCAATCAAGAGTTTTCAGATACAATAAGTATCACATTCTTCTCAATTATAGAGATTTGACATTACCAACAAGTATATCTCTAGACATCTTGAAAGTATGATGATTACATATCACATTTACGTATATATATCGCAAAGACACCTTCTTTGCTAATATCTCTTTCAGAAATACCATCGAGTGTTTGGTTCTATCGTGATACTTGAAATCCTCAATATATAAGATAATTACATAATTATCGTGGATATCATATTCTCAACTAATATCATTAGATGCCCAATACACCTATATCAAATAATTTCTTCAACGTCAAGATATATACTACAAGATATGCTTCTTGCTACTTTATATAGTAAGATTGCACAAGACAAATAACTATTTGTGCTTGACAAACTCTCATCCTTAGTCGACATTTACATATCTATTTCAATCACAAGTTACTCCTTCGACAACAAATAGAATAACTAACAACAACACCCTTTAGGTATTAAACTACTCTTTCTAAGGATAAAGTTGATACCTACTGACTAGATCCATTGCATGATAAATGTTATAACAAATATACATCATAGCATACATTTAATTCCTAACCGTACTAGATATGATTCTTTAGATATTTCTTTGTATACTTATGGAGTTTTTGGACATTTATGAAAATTCATATGGTCGCCTTCCAATATAAGAGTATTAATAGGGTAGCAATTCACAGTTATAAATATTTTAGAATCTTTATAATATACAACTCTTGTGATGGAGAAAGAAAACTAGAATAATTTTTTTAATACAAAATATACAATTTGTGAAACACATCATTCGTCTCAAAGATTAAGAAAAAAACTTCAAAATAATCTTAATACACTCATTCTCATGCTTAGCCAATGTAATGTCATTAATATTAAAAATAGAATCACAGCACACTATTAGTACAATGATCTTTATCCATATGATGAAATTTTGTACGAGATTTAAATCCTATTAAAACTCAAGTATCACTGTCATGATGACTCATTAGGCTGCATGTGTAACTATAAAGTTACCACAATACTATAAAAGCTTTCAACATAAATTCTACAAATCGATTCATATAGATCTCTTCAATCAATTCTCAATTAAGAATGAGTATAACATTTTTCCAAAAAATGAGCTTTATCTATCATGATCTTATTGAACATAAGATTTTTCTCCAACTACTTTCATTCCCATTGAAGCATCCGCCCATTCCCAGTCTTCCACTTAGTTTTTTAATAAACTTAATGACCAATTAGAACTTCCATCATATTCCAGATTATGCTGGAATTCTACACTCATATACATACTTCCATCAATTTCCTTAGTATTCCTCTTTGTACTCATATAAGTAACAGATTTTCTAAATCAAGAATTATTGAAAATGGATTGCTCATACTCGGAGATAGATTACTCTCACCTGAATCAAAAGCTTAAAACAAGTTATTTGTAGTCGAAACCGATTCATCAATATACATAACATTAATTTCAATAATATTCTTCAAAGTTTTCTCCCTAATTAGGAAAAATGTCAAATATAGCATATTGTGATTCAATATCCACCCAAAATTTTACTTATGAAAAAGTGCCCTTTGGACTATCGTGTGTATTTCATAGATATACATTTTATTCTTAATAAACTCACTATTAAGAACTTATATAGTCGATTATGAGTTTAAGACAACCCATATTTGGTTATCTATGTATCCAAAGATTATATATTTCAAAGGTACTAATATTGAGATAACTCCATTAAGTGCATGTTACAGTTAACCAATACTCTGTCCAAAAACAAAACACGTAAATTGGACTGCATTATCTTAATTCTCATCACATTCAGTAATATTTCATTCTTTCTTCCTAATAAACCATATAATTATTAGTGATCAAAGAATAGTCAAACCAATAAGAATTTCTCTTTCATTACCTAGATCATTGATCTCTCGTGATAGAGATTCATGATCTTAAAGAGTTCTCAAAATCTTTAATTCTATAATCTGATTTTCTACTCCCTTCAATAAAGTTTAAATCAATACAATAGCCTTCAACTTATGAAAATTTGAGGCACAACTAAAATGAGTGAATCCATTTATAAATGTAACAAGAAATGAGGTTCTATCTTTATTTCTCTTAATTATAGCTCACAAAGAAATTCAAATAGATTTACTCTATAAAAGTTTAGCTCTTACAGTTTTGAATGATTTTCTCAATTTAAAATCTCAAACCATTGCACAAATATCCAAAACCATAATAAACATCACAACTGTGAATACGAATAGAATTACTACGTATAAGTTCAAGTTAGAGACCACTCTTAGAAGAACAACAATTGAGATCAAGTTTAGTAGAGTCTTTGATACTATCTTAATATC